TATATATATATATATGAATGTAAAAAAAGGTGTACAATTATACATAGTCTTTAGTATAGACTTACAATGGAAAGACAATTTCATGAGCGCATCTTAGTGTATAAGTATGATTAACGACAGGATTATAAAACACCGGGTACCATTCCCTTAAGGACCACTTTGGGCAACCATAAAGTAAAAGAGACCCCTTCGGAGGCACTACTAGCAAAGAGAACACACTTGAGAGGAAACACTCGAAAAACGAACATAAGTAATGAATAAACTGCAATCTTCGGAAACTGAAAAAGACTATGAGTCACAAAGTAATAAAATCCCTTCATCTTTACCAATACTTCTACAAAAAACTGCAAAGCCTTAGTCACACAAGCGAAATTTCTGTTATTACTGTCTCCAAGACTTCAAAATATCACTGTTTCAAAGCACTCACCAGTTTTTTGAAGTGTAGATGTAAATAAAAAGCGAATGTAGTAGCAGCGGAACAATTGCAACGAACAGCAGATAGAGCCAGTCGTACAATGGTAACGGTTCAAAACAAACTGTGCACAACGTACTACTTCCCCAACTTCGACTACCCCAACTACAGGCCTGTAATTAATTGACTTGAAAATAAATACGCTTTTTCCGAACACAGTACGAAATATCAGTGAGGCTGCGAGCCAGCTAAAACATGACGACGTCAGCAGCACCCCGCCCCTCCATTTAAGACTGCGTGAGCTCACTCTTGTAAAATCTGATCCATTTTTTTAATACGCGCTCATATCTTCCTCCTCAATTTTTGGACTACGCTTTTATGCTTCGACTAGTCACTGTAATACGTGTTTTAGGTGCTTCCAGAGCCAGCTCTTCGAAGCAGCTCTTTCTTCAAGATCAATTTTAACCGGCCTCAGAAATCCATTGCAAAAAAAGGAGACAAGTTTTTCCTGTTACCCTCAAAAGCTATACCCCAGAAAACATAATAAAATAAAACTAGCGGTCAAAGACCAAACAAACCAAACAAAACAAGCACCTCCAGACCCGCTTCCACGGTTAATGCATCTAGTTCCTCTTGCTTCCTCTCTACCTAAAATATTCCTAATTTCTACATCAGTTTCCTTAGGACCAGTCATTCTCAAAAAACCTAAGTCCCTATCACATCTGTTCGGGTCAGTATTGCGGTAAAGATTCACTAACTTTCTACATGTGAAATAAGCGTTCCTCGAAGCCCGGTACTACGGTATAGTATACGGCAGCGTAAATGTACTAAAACCGAAACTATGGAATCAGGCTATGCTAACCCCTTCAACAAAGTGCACTCCACCACAAAATCTTCAAACAGTTCTATAAAAATATGGCAATTTTTTTCCATATATAAACACGAATGAAATATCTGGAAATTGGGTTATTTAAATACCGGACTATATCTCCATAATTTGTAAGCTATGTGCCAATAAATGATTTCGTAACAGGTACTTTAACTGTCCTCACTTGATTTATGTGCAGCATTCAGTAACAAAGAAATTCAAAAAAAAAATGCAGCGATTTTGAGCTGAAACCTGTCAGCATGCACTCGTTAAAAACAGAAAAAATGCTGCTTCTTCAGCTGTGTCCTTCCATCACAATTTTATTCCGTCATAAAAGAAGATCCGTGTAACTATAACCGAAACTCAATTGTGAAATTAAATGACAATTTACAAAAATTGGACCTAGTAAAGTCAACCAGCCCCTTGAAGGGAGCTCAAAATCAGTCGACCTCACTGTTTTTTGTGTAGCTTTCAACTCGCTGACGTTCAGACCAAATCCGAGCTTACAATAAGAAATACATCGGGAAGCAACAAAGATGTTGAAGTTTCATACCAGTAAAGAAACCCAAAACAAAATATTGTTCTTCTCCTGTGACCGAAAGAAATTTTAGCTTTCAAAGACGAAATTGCATGTACAATATCAAACAAAAGGACTTCCAGTAACCGATGACAAAAACTTTTGGTGCTTTTGATGAGTTATCTGCCAATCAATTGATAAAGAATAAAAGAAACTTTCTTTGTGCTTCTGCCAAAAAAAAGTGTCATAACAATTACGAGTGCTACTTTTCTAGAGATTACCTGACAAGATGAGTATGTAGTGTTACCAAACACAGCGCTTGATGCAGTTCGACCACAGAAGCCGGGACAAGCGCGCGGTGATGCTAACCCTCGCGCCCCGGATCCATCATCTACCATTTTACAACATCACTGAAATTAATTCACAGCACGTAGTAACAGCGCCACGTATAACCGTAACTACTGTGGCAGGAGAATGAGAACCTGGAGCACCAAACCAAAACGAAATCTAAAGGTCGGCAAAACAATAACTCGTAACCTTAGATCCACAAAAAATTCACTGGCATATTCCGCTGAAGAGGTAATTGCCGAAGAGACCACGACTCCCCAACAAAATTCCACTAGTACAACCTATCATGCACCAGTTTATTCATCTATTCGCTAAGTTCATAAAAACTTCAGAAAATATACAAATTATACAGCGAGTCAATGACGTAACTAGGCAATCGACTATACACCTCGTTCAGGAAAAAAAGGCAAGAAGACCAAGCAACTCTAAACTTTTCGAGCGCAAAATGAGATCTTTCACTCTTAGTGTTACCATAAGCAAAATGCAGTGATTGTAGTATCAAATACATAGATTTCAACCCCGACGAGAAAACTGACAGTTTCTTAAACAAAAATTACAAGAGGTATAAAACTTAGTAAAGGAGAACAAGACATCAAGCCGTAAGAACAAAATTATCACATTACATTCGTGTAAATAGTGAAAAGTCACAGAACAACAACTCCCCACTCCAAGCACACTTTTTCAGCCTCATAATACTGCGAACAAAATTTCCGCACAAGAAATGAGTGAAGTAGGAGGAAACAAACAATTCTGAAAGTAAAAAACTGATATTATTTCTTTATAAAAAATTATCAGTTTTTCATTTGAAACTGACGAACGTGAAGAAGCCTCTGATGAGCCCATCTAATAGACAGAATTCTAAACAGCAAAAGGAGTAGCTAACGGGGAGATCGCACAGTATGTTCATAGGACTTTTTAACTCGACGCCGCCTGAGTGCTGTCCCCTCAAAATTTCCAGAATCCCCGTTAAAAGGATTGGCAACATTTTCAAAGGAAATATTGTTCTTCTCATTTGGTACCTGGAAAGAAGAGAAGCTGCTGGCAATACTTACTTCAATTACGCCTAACTTTTCTGGCAGCAAACGCCAGATAAAACAGATCATGCTCATGCAGTTCTGCTCTAACAGCCCTCTACACTGTAGAAAAGGAAGGAAATAAAGACATAAAATTTAAAAAAACACTAACCACCGAATCAACATCTTGGCATACAGAATCAAAAGACTCATAACTGGCTCTACATGAACTACTCTGCTGTAGCTTATTCATCTTTCCTCCCCTCAGCACCTCCTTCCCATAAACGTCCGACTGTGACAAATTCGTCAAATCAGTATCTTTTAAGAACAAACATATACTCCGGTATCCCCAATACACAGTAAGTAAGGAAAATGTGCAAGATAAAAAAACTCCAATTATTACGATAGAAGATAGAAACGGCCAATTGTAAAGAAAACTCCGAAAAAAACCAAATCGAGCATTTAAGAACAATTTCCCTGAGGCGACCTAAAGTGTAAAAAATTTAATAAACAAGAAAATATATTTTAATTGAAAGTAATAAATAATCCTCCCGTCTAGCTCACACTGCAGTAATATTATAAAATAAATAAAAACTACAGGACTGTTAGCCAAATTACAAAAAGGTCTTTCCCTTACCTGTAGAAAACGATTCTGAATCTGGACAGACATTTTGGACGTCTTTAACACAGGATCTTCAACAAAGCGATCGGTGACATGAATTCTCAAATCGCGAACCACTTCCTCATCCCACCATTTAAACAAATTTAAAGGAAAGAATAGGAAACGTTTTGCCTGAAAACTGAGCCAAAAACCCCAAGCTAACGTAAAGTACAAAAAAAAGTGATTCTTTTTCAATTTCACCCCAGTAACACATGTTTCAGACAGTAAAGTATTAGCTCTAGCGTAACAATGAAAAGCACTGAAGACTACTCTCGGTTACAGGCATTTAGTTAGTTTCTTTCAATCAAATGTTTCCACAATATAAATTTTAAAAGTACCAGTGGAAGAAATCCAGTAAACGAATTGTCTAAAAAAGTTGTGCGCCGAAAAAGTGACACTTTCCGCCCCTCACTGGTAAAGATTTCGACTACTACTTGGAAAGCTCCAATTTCGTTTTTATTTTTTGAGACATACGCTGGTACTTCAACAAAGATATCATAACGAATCCCGTCTGGTAATGCAACCCCGTCCTAGATCATTTTCTTATGCATAAACGGTGAAGTCGCAAACAAGAAGAGATTAAAAACGATGAGAATAATAGTGTTTTAAATATACACTTGCATAACAATATAAAAATGAAGCAATTCCGAACCTCTGTAAGCGAAACAATTGCTGTAGGAAAAGAACACACTCCGGCAAGTTGATTTGGACAAGTTGTGAAAGTGAAGTGCAGTTGCGGAGAATATTCAACCACCTTCGGAAGGCAAAAGTACCTAAAATAAATAGTAAAAAACTCATAACTTAGAAAGAAGCCTTTCAAACAAAAATTAAATCAAAAAAAAAAAAAAACAGATTTTATTAAAGAAAACTTTAGCAGATATTTATTTAGACGAACAAAACAATTAAGACAAATAAAATTTTATAAAAACCTTGTGAGCCTGGAATTTATAAAGCAGAATAAAGCTCACAAAATACAAACAAGGCTACAGCAAAAACTTAGACTAATAAATCGGAAGAAATGAAACCTGAGAAATAATGGCGAGAAAAGCGAAATACCTAACGCAACACCGATTTGAAGTAAGATGACCAGAATTTTAAAAGCTGAAAGCTGCGACCGTATCTTATCCCAAAACTGTATCCTTAATGCAGCCATTCACAAAAATAGAATTCGAAACATTGCTGTAACAGATTATATCCAGAGCTTCAACTAATACGTTTAAATGAATTACGCTAAAGAATTAGCAACATCGACACACAATGACAACAAAAGCAGTCGGTTATTCAAGCCACTTTTTGCATTAATACTGCTGTGTAATCGCACACAGTCTTAAGGAACTTCTTTCAAATCTCCAACTGATACGATCATGGGGAACTTTAAATTGGAAAAAGCACCTGACAAATAATTCAAATGACTTTCAGTCAAGTAATGAAGAGATAAAATTGAAAATCAAATTCATAAAAATGAAGACTATAAGCAAACTGTTACCAGTTCCACTTTAAAATTGATTCCATATTTTATTAAAACCTAATTATCTCGCAAGAACTCCCCCACGATGAGCAAGGAGAATTAAATCAGTAATCAAAGATTGACAAAAATAAACTTAAACTCCAGCAGTGAAAATGACAAATCGTTCACGCAAGTAAATAGACGAAGATGACTCAAACTCATGTCGAATACACATGCTGTTACAAAAAACAACTGAAAATTAAACAATTTTTGACTGATCCTCCCAATTAACACCTGCTCGTTCAAACTTGCCAATTGTAGTCATCTTCAGTAGCCAAAAAATCTTGCTTTCCGCTCTAATTACAAAGCAACTAAAAGAACTTGACCACTGTAACCAAGATGTTTGAACAGCATTATGGTCTACAAAATAAAGATATTACATAAAACTTCAAAACAGCTCAATTACTCAGTAAGATATAACCTCCAATACAAAAATTCATCCACACAGGAGCTTGCTTTCATTACAATTATGAGGTATCGTTAAAGTATTAGACAATTAACTGTTGTTAAAACAATCTCCCGACGAAGAGAAGTTACTGAAATCGGCACTATCAGATTGAATTTTCAACAAATAAAACTAGGAAAAACCATTGCTGGAAAAAAAATTTCATCTTCCTTTTATCATTCACTCTTATGGAATTTGAACCTCACCAACAAGGAGGTATCTCTGTTACTGTACAATAAATTTACACGAAACGACAAGACAAATCAAAGCAATAACGAGTGAATTCAAGGATGAAATAACGTGGCTGATGATTATCAACGATTCATACTTCCTCCATTAGAGAATACTCTTAAAACGTTTCTCTTAACAGAGTCAGTCCATAAAAACCTCAAAATGGTCCTCAATATTTTGATAGTGATTATACCGTCTGCTTTCACTCCCTAGAGCATTCACACAATGAAAGTTCCGCTTTATTAACATGCAAATAAGCCATCGCTTCATTTTTTTAAACACTTCATCAAACCAGTCCGTCATAATTAATGGTGTACGGCCAGACCGAATATACCTCTAAAAACGCTGGGTATGCACTTCGTCAAGAACAGAGGTGTACCGCTAAGTTTTTTGCAAGTATTTTCTCAGGGTCAATGAGCTTGATTCCCAACCGAAGAAATGCCTAAGATGTCACCAATATATACCTGTCAAAAGTCCAAGTCCAGTCTTCTTAAAAAATACAACTGACAATACGTATATATGTATTTATATATGGTGTATCAGCAGCGATGTCGTAGATACCGCAAAACTTGAGGAACTGCATCAGCAAGTCTTTATGAAAATTAAAACTAACAGTATTTGCTTCACAACTACGGTGATGGTAAGTGGAATTTAATCAGTAGACGGAAATGAGAAAAGCTTGTTAAAATAGCAAAAACCTTTAACGTACACGAATAAATATTATTAGAAAAGATATTTATTAAGCTTGAAACCCACCTACAACTGTCTCAACTAGAAACGAGAGCGACATACAGTTTACAGAATCACTATAAACATTCAGCATAATGCAATGATCTTGTTTCTGGAAACACCTAGAAACAGCAGCAGCGGATGGCCGATGAACATTTGCCGTACAGACTGCTGGACTGCAGCTGAACCGAATATTTTCTGAAATTTTCATTCGCAAATTGATTACACGACCCGCTATAGCGGAAAGTGCTTGAGATGTTGGTTAGGTTCCAAACACTATTCTGTATATAATTTTCATGATAAAAACTAACTCTGAAAGGTTTACACTTTCTCCTAAAATTCTTTTTTGTTTTTTTATTTTGATTTTACATTTGACGCTTTTTCAACTTATCTTGTCCTTTTCAACTTGTCCTTTTTGAAGAATGAGAACCTTCTTCGGTAAAATTATTAAGCGATTTGTGAACCATACGGGGTTTTTTTTCCGCATAATCTAGATCTGTCCTGGAATTCTTTCGTATATCTGGACTTCCGGTCCCAGAGGTGCTGGTAAGCTGGTTCAAGAAATCTGTTACCAAACGCAAAAAAAACCTGAATGGTTTACAGATTCCCTCATAACCTTACCTCTCATTTCTCACCAAGGACAGTAAGTAAGTGTAAAATTACACCGGACTACATTAAAAAAAAAAGAGACAAGAAACAAACCCAGATAAACGGTTAGATTCCCTTCACTAACTCTCTCAAAAGAAGTATATGATGCACAGCATAGCACTACGTGTGTATTTCTTTATATTTT